CATATACACCTAAAAATATCAAAGAAAAATGGAAACTGAATTCAATAAAAGTATAAAACAACCTGAGCCTGGTGGCATACACCTGTAATACTAATACTTGGGAGACTGAGGCAGGAGGACTGCTGCAAATTTAAGGCCAGTCAGGGTTACATAGTGAGTTCAAGGTTAGTCTGAACCACATAGCAAGACACTGTCTCAAAAAAGAAAAAAAGAAGTATAAAACCTCACATAATCAAAAATAGAAAAAAAAAATTTTTAATGGAAAACTATTTTAGAGAAAATGCAAGAAAAATTGGCAACTGAACTTTAATATAAATATTAATTAAATCTCACTACCAACTACCAATTATCACCAACAATATACTAACTAAAAAAAGGTACCTCCTTAATAGCAGTTAAATTGGAGAAAAACTACTCCCTTCTTTGGGGAGTACTTGGTTCATACATTTGTAACAGAAATACAATTGCTTTTTTTCTTTTTAGAGAACTTTGCTTCATAGCACTAAAAAGGGATGCACTATGATCCACAGGAGAATAATGCTACTGTGCTTCCTGACTCTAGTTTCTAGTTCAGCAGCCTTGAAGCTTAACTGGGCTCTAAGAGATATTCATGCCTATATCCTACTAATAAATGGTTTACTTAAGTTTATTTGTAGCAAACGAGTGATCAATGAATATAACACCTTGCTATCGCATATGCTACAACTATGTATTAATTCACCCGTTCATATCAAAAGAAGAAAACTGACAACTATAGATTGTGTTATTGAATCCACCTTTTAGAGGTACTGAATAAACTGTTTTAAGTCAATCTTCCTTATGACTGCTATCAAGCTCTAGAAAGTAGGAACCAACTGTATCTTACATATCTTCATTTTCCCAGTTGTCTTTACTTTTCTATCATTGCTGAGACAAAATACCCAACACCTAACGTTAAAAGAGAGAAAGGTTTATTTAGTTCACAGTTCGTAGAGGTTTCAGGTCACAATCAGCTGGCTTCAAGGCACAGTGGTAGGGCAGACAGGCATTGCAAAGGAAAAACATTTCATGGCAGGCAAAAGGTAGCAAAAAAAGCAAAAGACAAGTCTCTTTCTGTCTCTTATATTTTATCCAAGCTACTGGAACTAAGATGGTGCCAAACCCATCAGTGGGCTGGTAGAGTAATCAGTCACCCTTAGTCCTAACATCCTTAACCCTAACATTGCACTATGAACCAATCACACACTCTACATTCAGCCACCTCTGATAAAGCCCCACCAATTTTTGCAAGAGGCCTTAGGGGGATACCTAGACCCAAGCTGCAACACTAGTATGGGTTCCAGGTTCACAAATATTTGCTGAATGAACAAATTATGACAGTAAAGTCTATAAAACTCTAAAGCCCTGACAATTGATTCATCCTTGACAAGCAATAATACTTTCAACTTCTAGTTACCACACTGGAAAACCAACAATACATGTTAAACAACATGAAAATACCTCTTTGCCCCAGTAAAAACAAATCTTTGAAATGTATATTAAAGTTACTTTACAATGACTTGATGTACTAGCTTATTTTTTTTCCTACCTTCTCAAAAGAAAAAATTCACCAACTCACACAGGCCTGCCATTACCAAAAGCAAAGAACAAGATCAAGGTCACAGAGATTAGAAGGGATGGAAAAAAAGATACAAACTTAGGTCCATAGTCCTAATTCCCCTGCCACACCACATACACACCCACTGGTAAACACAATTAAGCACTTAGTGCATATAAAAAGCAGTACCCTTAATTACAAATAGGGATACAAAAAAACTAATGCAGGTCCCCTTTAAAATTTGCAGTATATTGCTTCAAAGTTTATTTCTGCATATAGAAGATAAAATGTAAACACTTCTAATCCTCATCTAGTGTTTGATGCTTAAATGGTATAACCACATCTCATAAATTTGATCAATTCTTAAGCCACAGAAAATTACAGGAACTAAAATGATGAAAGCAGTAATTTAGAGCATCTGAAATCTGTCTCTGTCAGATAAAACTGCTAGAATTCTTCAGCTAGCTAGAGAATTCATGTAAGACAAGTGAGCTCTGCCTATACAAAACATTTATCCAGATAGCACTTATTCTCTATTCTTCACCATATAAAAAGACATTTAAATTCTAAAATATCACTGTATTCACACATAATAGTTGAATCATATATTCATTTGCATTTCTCTCATTTAACTCCCATGTTGAAATATATATCCAGTTAATATCCTATGAATTTATCTCATTTAATTCCAATGGCCTTGGTGAGGTGTCTAATTACTGTAACTCAACCCTACAAACAAGAAAAATCTAGATTAGCCAATTCAGAGGTTAGTAAGTAACTTAACTATGTCTAAGTGCTAGAACTCAAATCAGAATCCAGGTTCAACACGAAGTATGTGTTTGAAATCATGTTTTATTAACTTCTTGGGTAATAATGTTTCTTACACATGGTATCAATGACCAAAAGTGAATAGTCACACACCATTTAATGCAGAAATGTTCTAAGAAATGCATCCTTTGAGCATCTAGACCCTGTGCAATCCTCATATAGTTTCAAAAACTAAGAGGGCTAAAACAATACAATCTTACAGGGTCACATAAGTGATCTGTTGATCAAATCATTATATGGTGCATGACTATGATGTTATCAAGTAGGTCAGAAAAGAGTGAGGAGCTGGGAGTTGGCAGGCTATTGCCAGTTACTAGTCTTCTGGCTTTGCTGTTTAAAATTACAAAATAAAGCTGAGCATGGTGATGTATGCCTATAATCACAGCAATCAGGAAGGCTGAGGCAGGAGTTCAAGAGTTCCAGGCCAGTCAGGGCTACCTAGGGAGTTCAAGGCCAGGTTGAACTCTGTCTTAAAAACATAAAATAAAACTACAAAACAAGATTTTAGCCAGATGTGGTGGTGCATACCTGAAATCCCAGCTGTTGGGAGGCTGAGGCAGAAAGCTGTTCCAAGTTTGAGACCAGTTTGGGCTACACAGCAAAACTGTCTCAAAAAGCCAAAACAAAAAGTGAAAACACAAGATTTTTAAAATATAATGAACGTAAGTACTACTCAAAGAAAATATAGTAAAGCATTTGCTAAATTAGAGGTATTAATTCAGTGTCAGGACTATAACCCTTTGGTTTAATGCAAAGCATGTTAACAATGCTTAAATCTAATTATTTCTAGGATTGGCTGAACCTATGCAGCTTATAAAATACATGCCCATCTAATCTACTGCTAGTATACGAGCCAAATATAATCTTCAAAATATAACTGGCAGCATATAATCAAAAGTTTCCAAATTGTTTTATACTCTTCACATTGATAATTCTATCACTGAGAATTTAGTCTTTTAAAAAGCCTTTTCTCAGTCTCTGTATCATTAACAGCAATAAAAAGTAAAAAGAAAATAAAATAAATGACTCCCTATAATTGTCATTTTTTGTTGCCATCATCCCTTTCTCAGGAAAATACCAACTCATTCAACTCATGTAGTCTCAATAGAACTGTCATGACTGCTTGCTGTCATCTTCCAAGTATGGTTAAGAAATTGACAACCAAAACAGACCAGAATCAACTGAGGATTGACATATGGACATTAGGAAGGTAAAGCTGTCTTTCAAGTGTGATTGCTAAGTTACAGGGACTCCAGAAACAAGACCCTAGAAAAACCCATGAAGCAGACTGATAAGATTTGTTGACATTATCTCAGATAGTAGATCTAGTTATTTTCAAAGCCATTCCATCCTCCTTCATGAACCAATTAACTTACTTTGTAACTCAAAAATGCTTTCTTAAGATCTGAACACATATAACTGAAAGAATCATGACTAACACAGTAACTAAAAAAAAATGCTAACTAACTGTGGTACATTCATCCTTTGGAATAACATTGCTGTAACAATATAACCATTAGGCAAGTATGCAGGAGTCCACTTTGAATTTTGGCTCTAATTTATACTTTCTATATGTTTCTTGGGCACATTACTTAACCTCTACATGCATCAATTTTCTCATCTGTAAAACACAGATAATAATAGTAGTTCATATGATTGTTCGAAATAAACTATTTTTTAAAAGTACCCAAAATGAAGCTTAGGATTAGTTAGGTATACATGTTTTTAAGTAAGTAAGTAAAAGTGTATAAAGTTAACTATACCGTGTGATTACACTAATCTTTACCAAAAAGTCTGAACAAACAAAATCTACACATTTTTAAAAAGTAAACATACATTATTTTGAAAAACAAACAATCTCTAAAACATGCCTCTAGTTTCACCAGAAAAGATAGAAATTATTAGCCTCACTCAAACCCCTGGACCTTCCCCAGTGGCACTACATTCATCATCAAAAGACACACACACACACACACAGTGTGGCAAGTCAGAAACCATGAAATTAAACAATATATCACATTTAACAACAGCTAGCCTACCAAGCAGAACTTAAAATTTTAAACCTGAAGGAAGTTCTGTCATTTTCTCCAACTAGTTAGTTTACAAGGAAAGACATACTGATTAGTATACCCAATTCTTAACAATATAGTACATATAAGAATAAAAAGGAACAAATGTTACAAGTCATCATTTAAAAACCATATTTATTTGGCTTTCTATCTTTGGAGAATATAATCACTTTTATTAAATACAAGTATGATGTGTCTGAAATTCACAAAATTCACTTTGGGAAGTTTAATTCAAGATTCACAACCTGCCACCTGGGTCTGCTTTAAGTATCTTTCCACTCCATGTTTTGAATTCCTACCAATCTATTCAACTCCCTCTCTCTGCCTCTCATTAGATTTATTATATAATACATGTTAGCAAAGCTTTTTTTTCCTCTCTTTTGGAAGCAACAGAGGAATTAAAACTAAATGTTTTTTAAAATATTTCTATGGATGACCAGATCACACATCAAGACTCTCTGCCTACAATGAATACTAATAAGAGTTAAGAGATCTACTATAAAGAATTTAAAACTTTATTCAGTCTTACCCATCAGGTTATACAGCCTCTATAACAAGGAGATTGCTCTTGTATAGGTGAGGTAAAATTCTTTGCTCAAATTCTAATGTTTGTTATGGCCCAGAGCTTATGAGATAAAAATAATAAAATTAGATTATCAAACATGAAAATAAAGACTTCATTAGTGTATACCAATAATTTCTACAAAGGGACTAAACATCTTAAAAATGAAATATAAGATTTGCACAGCTGTTACCACTTTGTAAATTAGGTTGTTTGGCTTACAAGACTGGTTGGTTGGTCTGTTTGGCTGGCTTTTTCTTTTGTATCTTCTCACATATAAAAACTATTGCCAAAAAAATTTAAAATGTTTAGTTAACCTGAATAAGTACCAAAGACTATGTTAAAGAAAAACAAAAAGTTATTCAAAAATAAACTTTCCGACTGGGCATGGAGGCACACACCTGTCATTACAGCACTTGGAAGCTGCAGCAGGAAGGAAGAGCACAAATCGGAGCCCAGCTTGGGCCATTTAGTTTAATGCAATGAGACCTGTCTCCAAGAGGGGGAGGAGGAGGGGAACGTAGCTCAGTGGGAAGGCCCTGGGTTCAATCTCCAGTACCAAAAAGACAAACAACAACAAAACAAGACAAAAACAAAAAATACTGCATTTTAAGCAACACAACCTTGTAATTAAAATATACAAACCTGCTTCAAATTTCAACCCTACTATTTATTATTCTAAGTTAAACTAAGCAAGTTAATATTTAATATGAAATTCAGATTTAATTAGGTGACTTGTACTTTTACTTCCTAAACCTAGCACTTCCATAATGAGAATGTGATGGGGCACAAGGTATCTTCCCAGGTCACCATTTTTTAATTTTTTTGGTACTAGAATTGAACTCAGGGCGTCCTGTTTATCAGGCAGTTATTCTGCCACTGAGCTACATCCGTGGCCCAAGTTAACAGTATTTTACTTCCCTGTGTTTGTTTCCTAATCTATAAAATGAGAATAATAACCAAATATACCTAACAAAGTTATGATAAAATGAATTAACATATGTAAATTCAGTAAACTTAGTTTTCTTTTTTACTATTATCCATATCACCCATTCAAGGCCTCTACTTCTACCTGTCTTTTATACATGAAAAGAAATTGTAAAGTATAATGAAAAAAACACTAACCAGAGTTTGCAAACTGAATTAGTTCCAACTTTCTCACAGTAAAAACCTAGGCAAATTTTCCTCATCTGTAAAATACTATAAATGTATATAGATTGCTTCCACAGTACCCTCCATCTCCAAAATTCTCATTTTATGAAACTGAAGCAGAGACGTAAGAATTTTCTCAAGGTCATACATGAAATTATTGGCAAAACACAGACTGTAATCACTTTCTTATCTATCCCATACTGCTTCTCCTGCCTCGTAACATTTTCTCTAAATTATTCTAAAATGCTTAGAAGGGGCTGGAGATTTAGATCAGTGTTATAAGTACCTTCCTGGCAAGTGTGAGGTCTTGAGTCTGGTATCAAAAAAAAAAAAAAAAATCATTAGAAATTATGAACAAGCATGAAAGAGTTATAAACTAAATGACTTATTTCTGTGGCTTGTACATAGACAATGAGATTTAAATCCAAATGTAGTAAGTACATGAAATTTCAGGTTGCATGTCACTTATAACCTCAAGTTACAAGAATTAATGTCTAACTTCCCACCATCTAAAAATCCAACTCACAGGAAGACTATTTTATATCAAATTAAAAATATGAATTATAACTAATGATAAATATTGTAAGAGTAATTCTGCAAATAAGGACTAAAATTCTTTTTATATCTAGGATATTTTAATGTCTACTTTAAACACAAGAGCAATTTTTAAAATATTAAGTGTATGTGTGCATTACATCATGAATAACCATGAGTTACTGATACACGTACATATTGCACCTTAATACTTTCTACAAGACAGCAATTTAAACACTTTCCCTCCATGTTTCCTCTTTTTCAACTCTAGCTTTAAAACCACTAGAAAGGTTTAAGTATATTACTTCTGAAATCATATAAACAATTACAAATAAAGACTATGTTTATAGTTTCTCTTTTTAAATTGAAAATCACCCCCCACGGTATTCTAAAATTCTGTGTTCAAACATTACAACTGTACTAAATAGTATCTTAAATAGAATTTGATTCCCTAAAATTCTTCAAAGCTATTATATTTCACAAGGAATTCAGCAACATTTCAAAAAATACAGTAAAATCCAATTAAAAATGCAAAGTAGTGATAAAGTCAACAATAGTTTCATACTACTGACAAGAAAATTTTCAAAATCATTAATAGATACATACGTAGTTTAGGAATTTTTAAAAAGAATTACAGAATGTTAATATTTTTAAATTAGGACTTTAAATTGTTAAACCCAGTAACATGTAAGAATCTATCTATAAGAGGGCCAGGTAATTAGCTCAATGGCACAGCACCTGCCCAGCAAGTGTGAAATCATGAGTTCAATCTTTGGTATCAAAAATAAATAAATAAATAAAAAACCTACAAGAATCTACAGTCTATCTCCACCTTCCCTCAAAAATGTTCCTGTAGACTGCTTTAAATTCTTACAACTAACTACTTTTTTTCAAGTTGGGCAAATGTTGTTGTTATATAGTTCTTATATTCTGACCAAAATGTATACTAAATTCATTCTATGTCTTCTCAATCATCAGCTGGTCTGTTTTCTAACAAAGGAAAGTTAATTCATTCCTCTTCATTTTTATGGTTTATGAAACATTTACCTGAAGATAGCTAAATGTCTCTCACCTTTTCGTCTCTTTCAGGTACATGTCCACAGATTTCCTTTAGGTCCTGGAGTTTTGATGTACAAGTACTTCTACATTGCCAACTACCTTTTATAAAAATTTCTATTTGTTAACGTAGGATGTACTACCTGAGAAGAACATCATGAAAAGACTATTAAATTCTTCCTTTTCCAAATACCTATCTATATGAAGGTGGATTCTCTTCACATACTTCAAACAAAATATATATTGCAACAGACTGAAAGCAGAAGCAAAATATAATTGTCTTTTAATAAGTCAGAATTCAAAATTATTTGCAAAAAATATAAAATGACACTAATTGCACTAAATTTTTGTTCTAGAACATACTTATTCTTTACATAAATAGCATGCAATGAGTTAATATTCTTTAAGTAAATTAATTTTAAAATTCCTAGTATTATATATAGCAAATATTAATAGCCATTAGCTCACCTAAACAAAATCTCGTCAACAACGTTTGAGATAAAGAGGTCCTGAGACCAGGGCTGGGGATTTAGTTCAGCGGCATAAGCGCCTGCCTTGCAAGCAGGTAGTCATGAGTTTGATCCCTGGTACCGATAAAAAGGAAAAAGACAAAAGACAAAAAAAAAAAAAAAAAAAAAGAGGTCCTGAGACCTAACAAGCTAAACTACAGCCTGTATCTCATGAGATTTCCAGATCTAAAACCCTTAATAACAATTCTGTTCTCTTCTGGTTTGTGATTTCTTTTCCCCCATGTCTTCAAGGTTCTGGGGGCTGAACCCAGGGCCTTACCATTGAGCCACAGTCCCATCTCTTTTCTGGGGGAAAAGAGACAGAGTCTTACTAAGTCAATAAATTCCAAGCTAGGCTTGGGATCTTCCTACCTCAAGCTCAGAGAGCAGCACTAGGATTTAGGCTTGAGCTCTCATGCCCAGCTAGCTAGTGATTTCAACAAACCAAAGGCCTGCAGAACCATCTGGTACATTTTTATTTTTAACATCTCCCTACAGGTACTCAATCAAGTCAAATCATACAGTATTTTAATTTTTCTAGCTAAGAAATGCAGGCTTCAAATGTAGAAAAAAAGGAAGTAGTTTAACTGTACTATGATGCCATCTTTTGGAACAAACTACTTCCACTATTAAAAAAACAACAACAAATTATTCATACCTGGCAAGATGAAATAGGAAAGAAAATGCAAATTTTACTTTGTAAAGTCAATCATTTAATTCTTAATAATAACCTGTTAAAATACTCATGCACTGACATTTAAAAAAAAAGGAAAGAAAGAAAGACCAAAAGCTCATCTTATCTAGCCAAAATGGCACTAGGTTCCTAGACTTCAACAAATAAAACTGACTAAAAACTTAGTTACTTTTTTCCTTCTCCACTTTAACCACAGAATTACAGAAGACAAAGCAAAATGGGATAGAGATTACAGGTTCAAAAGACTAAAATCTAGAGCAATAACTGCTGAGCACTTCTAACAAAACTTCAAGGTTAATAAAGAATAAGCTTTCAGACCCAGAGGAAAGAAAATAGTCTATACCAATGGTGGTGAACCTATGACACTTGTTTGTTGCCATCTGAAAGCTCCAAAAGGTTCACCATCACTGATGGACAAATCATACAAATTCCGCGAGGTCGTAAGTTTGATCCCTGGTATCAAAAAAAATCATACAAATTCCTAAATTCTAACATCTCTCTTTTAATAGTTAAAGCTATATTTAATTTATAAATCAAGCAAAATCATATTAATAGGAAGATAAGAAAAGAAAGCCAAAATAAATAGCATTAAAAATGTTTTGCCAGAAATGTAGCTTAGCAGCATAAGCACCTGCCTGGCAAGCGCATAGTTGAGAGTCTGATCTCCAGTACCAAAAATAAATAAATAAATAAACAAACAATAAAAATAAAAATCTGTTTTGTTTTAAATATGTGAAAACTTCAAAATAAATAACTTTTACAGTTATGACATATCTTTAACTCATTTTTTTTTCTTTTTTGTTTTTATCGGTACCAGGGATCGAACTCACGACTGCCTGCTTGCAAGGCAGGGGCTTATGCCGCCAAGCTAAATCCCCAGCCCCTTCTTTAACTCATTTTTAAAGTTAATTTGCTTAAAAGGAACTGACCACAAATATATTAGCATACATACATATGTATCTCTTTTAAATTTACATTTTTCCATTACTATAGGCTAAATTGGGTTCACTTTTCAAGAAACAAGTCTGTTTTCGCTTTGATACATTCAGTTCTTTCACATGCCTTTAAGTTACTAACACAGCAGTCACCTGAATTCAAAGGTTCTCAGGTTTAAAAGCTCTCAAATCCCATCAATTTATGCAACATATTAACAGACACACCTCCAAAGGTACTAACACACACTTATCAAGGAAAAAACTAGGATTCTGCTCAATAGAAAACAACTCCCATCTTGAAAGCTGGAACTTCATTTCATATATACAGTTCCTGTTAGCATCAGTGAAATCTGAGCATACAGCTTGAATCCTTGAAATGAATATACAATCCTAGAGCATTAACACAGTTTTAACTTACATGCTGGTTAGTCAAAAAAAAAAAAAAAAAAAACAAAACCTCTCCCCTGTGGCCACACAAGTACAGTATCTGGTGTGGGGCTGGGGCTGTAGCTCAGTGGTAGAGCACTTGTCTACCATGCACAAGGCCCTGGTTCAATCCCTATCACCCCAAAACACACACACACACACACACACACACACACACACAACTTGGTGTGATGTTCACTTTCACAAAATTTAGTCTCATTTCATGACACTGTAAGTTACAAAATATCTATAGCAAACTAAATGCCTGGAAATAGTTCTGGTTATTTGGAAGTTGAAACCTCTTAAAAGTTTTTCAAACATCAGAAAAAGTACTGAGGCGAAAAAGAACAAACAAATTAGAAACTTAACAGAGTGGAAGTTACCTCAAAATCTTACAATCTAGATTTTGTGTCTCCTAAATTCCAGTCTGTAACAGATGTTAACTGACAGCTACTCAGCACTATGTCCTCAGCACTTAGCACAGGTCCTGGCTCATAATAAAGGCTAATAAACACTATAGAAATGAATGAATGATAAAAAAAAATTGCAGTGTTTAAAAAATAGTAGAATGATCTTTCTCAACTCACAACACTATCACTACACATTTTAATGAAACTATAAACAAAAATAAAAATATGCTTTAAAAAACTGGCCTTATTCACAAAATACATTTTAAAATAGTTAAAATTTTCAAAAGAAAAAATCAGTTGGGTTAAATTTGAGTCATTCAATGAATGAGCTTTTATCTATTCTAATAATGAAAATCAGTGTTGGGGATGAGATGAAAGGAAAAAATGTCTGTCAATGTAGTGGCCATGTTTAATGGATGCCACAAATCAAACCTTTCCCTGAATTTTCTACAGCATATTCAATGCCAATCTTTGAGCCTATTGTCACTTTCACACATGCTCACAGGAACAAAATGACAAAGAATGCTATGCCAGAACCACTGGATTCAGGGCACAAAACACTTGATTAACAATTGTCAAAGCTCTGAATAGTAAATATGGGCAGATATTTTCAAAGATAAATTAATTCCACCGATTCCTACATAAGTAGAAGCTCTTGGTTTCTTTAAAAGGTTTTCTGGGGTGTTGGACTTTTTTTTTTTTTAATGTGCCTATAATCTCCTTGTGTGAGACAACTGGGAGTGAACAACCCATTTACCAATTGCTGATGAATACCGCTACTCGTTTCCCAGACAAAAGAGCGTTAAACGAGATGTGATACACATTTATTCTTCCTTCATAAATGATCGTTCTCCCAAATTCCATTTTATGTTGTATACTTAAATACAGCAAGTTGAAATTTTAGTCAAAAAGCACTCAGTGCCTTAACTAGCTATGTAACTGCTACATCTGGTGGAGGCACACATGCCTACAAGAAGCCAAAAAACTTAGAAAACAATTGCAACCGATCTGGCGAGTGTTTGCAGTAACCTTTACGCGGCTATTTCCCACAAAACTCACAACCCTGTCAAAGAACAGCAGCCTACTTTTCACTCATGAAGATAACGCACAAACACGCAGGGGGCGACGTCGAAGAAGAGAAAGTTGCAACCATCTGGAGGAGTGGTTTGAGCAGCCTGCCCACGAGTCAGTCTGTCGATCGAATTGCACTAGGGGGCCACTCTGGGAATCAAAGTCCGCCTGGATAATTTCTGTGTCTCATCCCTCAGGGCAAAGACCCTGCCAGCAAGGGGCATCCTCTGGGTCCCGGGCAGCAGACCTCACAGCGCTGGGACCGCCTCTATGGGAGGAGTGCGCGGAGGGAAGGGGAGGGGGCTCCGGGATGAATGCTCCAACGGGAGGGAAAGCCCACCAGAGACCGGAGGCCAGGAGGTTAAGAGTACTGAGTGTTCTCGCAAATGGAGCAGAAAGGGGCTGGCGTCTGGGGGGAGGCCTCCCGCCCTCGCAAGATCGGCTCCTGGAGCCCGGTGATTCTGCGCGCCTCGCCCCGTCCCCACCAGCGCGCGGCCCCTTGACCGACTCCTCCGCCACCCGCGATCCACCACCCGCGGCCAGCGCACCACCTCCCCGGGCCCGGCGGCCTCGCGTCCACCTCGCCGCCAGCACCCCCCGCCCGGGGCCGGGCGACAGAGGCGGGGGGCGCGGAGCAGCGGCGCGGGAGCGAGGGAGGGAGGTCCGCGAGCGGGCGCGGCGGCGCTTACCTTCCCTGGGCCTCCCGGATGGCGGCGTGTGATTCAGCAGGGACCTGACCGCCGCCGCCGAGCCCGGGGTTGGAGACGTGGAGAGCTGGGACCAAGATGGCGGCCCCTCCAAACTTCCACTGCTACTTTGGACACTCATCAAGCTACTTTCTGGGAACCCGACTCCCCCCCTGCGACGGCGGCGGCGGCGGCAACGGCACCGGCACCCGCCTCCGTCATGGCGGGGGACGCGCTGAGGGCGAGCGAGAGCGCGAGGGCTGGGAGGGGAGAGTCAAGGGGATGGGGGAGGAAGCCGAGCCGAGGGGCGGTGGGGAGGAAAGAGGTGAGGGAAGGAGCGGGGACGGGGAGGAGGGAAGGGGGAGCGGCGCGGGAGCGGGCGGGCGCGCCGGCGAGGAGGCGGAGGGCGGGAGCGCGGCGGCGGCGGAGGCGTCGAGGGGGCGCCCGCGGGGGCCGGGGTCGGGGCGCGGGCTGCGCTGGCTGAGGAGACTTCCGCGGGCGGAACCTGCCGGCACCTCTGCAGTGCGTCGGCCCCCGGCGTCGCCCAGGCGGCGGCGGCGGCGGCGGGCGGTGGGTGGCGGCTGAGGCGGCGGGGTAACCTCTGCATCAGTTACAGGCGGCGGCAGCGTCACGCGCCGCCTGTGCAAACACTATCGCGAGGCTCCTGCGCCTCCGGTAGCCGCGGCGGCCGCAGGAGCAGGCGTGGGGGAGGGACCTGCCAGGGGTGGGAGGCGGCAGGCGCGCGACGGAGCCCGGGTTCGCAGACTCGCGTGCGCGGGGGCCGCTTCCCCGCGCCGGCCGGAGGGAGGCGCCCCCGCCGCGCCGCCCCGGCTCCCGCGCCGCCGCCACCTGACTGGCCCTCTACCCCGCGGAAGCGCGCCTGGCTCCGACCCACACCCAGCCCGGAGAGCTGCGCGGCCGCTCTCGCCTCGCGGTCGCGGCTCCGGAGTTCGTGGTGATCGTTTCTCAAAATGGAAGTGAAAAGTTGAGAGCAGCTTCTTTCTTGCCCCTCTCCACGCTGTGCAGAAAATGTGTGTGTGTGTCCGTCTGAGGCTGGGCGTAATTACCAAATAGAAGAGCTACGAAAATTGGGGAGGTGGGGTGTAAGAGAAAGGATTTGGGAAATAAAACTTTTTTTAAAAAAATTTTTTGGTAAAACAGCCTTTAATAGAAGAATTAAGATACAATACTGTTGTAGATTATATGTATGGGATAGCAGTTTGTTTTAAAACAGTTACGTGGAAAGTACAAATGTTAAAAATCATAATTATTGAATTCATGTATTTACAAAGTCTGCTATGTACGTCTTGGAGAATGTATGGTTTCTAGACATTTCCAGTTTGTTTTAGGAGCTACTGTGGAATCTTGACTACAAAATCCCAAAACAAATTACAGCATTTGCTACAATTTATAGAGTGTAGCTTTTTACTCACCCACCCACCCACCCACCTACACACATCAGCGATTGGCCATCTTGTACATAAAAGAACAGGCTGATACAGTAGTTCAGGAAAAATACAGCAAGTTTATTGCTTTCTCTAAAAAACCAAATTGCATAGAACACTAAAAAGATTATGATGTACAACTGTGCAGACAAGAGGAAATGGCATGATTACCAGGGGACAAAAATGTCATTTCTATTTTTTATTTTTATGACTTTGCATTTCTCACAGTAATGCCGTCTTCAGATAAACTATCATACTACAATAGAGCCTTGGTTGTCAGTTACCTCCAGGAGTCATTTTAGTTTTTTTTTGTACTTCAGATTCTGCAGTGAGTTTTTAGTCATGTTCTTCCAAATTTAAGAGGGGGGCCTCACAAATTAACTGTTGAGGCATAATTGGCATAAACTATTTCACACGTACACTTTGATAAGCTTGATGTGTAGATAGTCCTGAAACCACTTCTACAATCAAAGTGATGAGTGTATCCTAGGCTCCGAGTTTCCTTTTCCTTCGAGGTTCCTCCTTACTCTTGCTATCTGCAGCTAACATAGATCTGCTTCCTGTTGTTACAGAGTTCGTAAGACTTTTCTAGAATGTTAGATCAATAGAAGTACACAATTTTTACTCTTGCTTGGCAACTCAGCAGAATTATTTTGGAATTCACGTATTGCATTTATCAATCATCTGTTTCTTTTTGTTACTAAGTCGTATTTCATTGTTGAATATACCTTGCTTTGTCCCTTCAGCTATTAATGGACACATATTGCTTCTACTTTTTGGTTGTGATGAATAATACTGCTATAACAGTGATGTACAAGTCTTTGTGTGGGCTGTGTTTACCATTCTCGGGTTTATACATAAAACCTTACCATTGGATTGTGATACTAAAATACATACACTGTAAGGGGAAACTTCCCATAATAATATGTAGATAAATTCTGTATTTTTAAGAGAAAGCAGGTTGTGGCAAAAAAAAAGTAAGACAGGAAGGAAGTTAAGAGACGGCGGGCCTTAGTCTCAGCAGGTAACGCTCCTTGTTTCAGCTTTTTCGTCTGTGAAAAAGGAATCATGAGTCATTGGGTTATTCTTACCAGTACCAGAACTTAGTTCCCCAGGAATAGTCAACAAAGCTCAACAAAGGTTTGATGATCCTAGGTTATCTTCCTCTGAATATTTTGCATATTTACCTTTCTACCAATGTGTTGTGTTTTATACAGACAGACTTTTTTTAAATGGTAACTGGAAAAACATTATATACATAATCAAATCACTTTATGTTTCAGTTGTGAGTGCTGCCTAAGGACAGCTAAATGTTTGATTCCTGCCTTTGTGAAGCTTACTATAAGGAAAGTCTTCACTGACTAAAAGAGACACTTCTGCCAGCAACAAGGAAGTAATCAAACAAACCATGTCTTAGCTTGAAAATGGAATGTCATGTCATTTAAAATAGTCTTCAAAAAATAACCAGAGAAGATTAATAACATTTTCACATTTCAGAATAGTAAGTACAGAGTATGATCCCAATTTATTTGTAAATATATATATATATTTTTTTTTAAACTGGAATGATGCACTCCAGAAAGTTAATAATGATTAGCCTTAGGCCATAAGATCATATAATTACTCCAGCTTCTTATGCTCTTCCAAACTTTGCACTACGAATCATGTATTTTTATTTTAAGAAAAAGTTCAGTTTTAAGTAATATATGCATGAAAAGGGCCTTTGGGACAAACATTGTGGAATGTATAATTCTATAGAAATGATTATGTCAAGAAAATGAAAATGTATAAATGGCAAATAGACATTCTCCCCCACCTTACACATTTGCTAGTTTGTAGGCATTCCAAAAATGTCTCATAGAAAGAGATGGATGCTTGGGTGATAGGATACATGATGGGAAAAGGTACAGTCTTGGAGAGACTCCAGATTTGGAAGAAAGGAACACCTGCCACTCTGTGGTGAAGAAATCTCAAGAGAAAGAAAAGACCACTGAGAGAGTTCTTGGAGCAATCTTTCTGGGGAAACTATTCCCAGAGAAAAAAACCAGCTTGAGAGCACTATTTACACCTCAAAAGTGAGCAAACACTCCAAATTGGGGCGTCCCCTCCCCATTAGAGCCAGCTATTAAGCATTCATCAGCACACCACTGTTCCCATGGAACATTTATCATTGCTGTATTCTCTGTCTTCTATTTCCCCACCTTAGCTAAAAATCCAAACAGGACAAGGACCTTGGTCTGTCATGTTATAGTTATATCCCTAACATCTAGCTGCCTGGTGGATAGTAGGTAATATATATTTGTGAGTTGATCAATTAACCCATACAATGGGTTAGCAAGCACTTGAGTTTCTTGAGCTACCTTGCCAAGTATCTAAGCCAGGTGTGGTGGCAGACATTTGTAATCCTAGCATCCTGGGAGGCTGAGGCAAAAAGATCGTACGTCTGAGATCAGCCTGACCAGTTTAGGGAATAAGACTCTGTCTCAAAATAAGAAATAAAAAAGAGCTAGGAATGTACCTTAATATGAAGGCCCTGAGTTCTATCCCCAGTACCACAAACAAGAACAAAATCTGAGTTTGCCATCTAGCAAGAGAAAAGAATGAAAGTGTTCCACTACTACCTCACACTGCTCATCTGCCAAGGTTATGGCGTACTAAAAATTTCATTGAAATTATTAGGGTTTCCAGATAAAATATAAATTTTTAATGGGCTATACTTATACTAAAATATTATTTATTGCTTATTTGAAATTCAAATTTAACTGAGAATCTTGTATCTTAATCGGCCAATTCTGGCAATCTTCACTTTTAAACTAAGCAAATAACAGTTCATAAGGTGTACCTAGTAAAGCTGAAGGTCTCTGACTTAGCAGTTCCACTCCAAAGAGTATATCCTAGAGGAGTTCTTGTACCAAGAAATAAGAACAGGAATGTTTACCTCAGTATGGTTTGTAGTAGCCAAAAAGCTGGAAAACACCCAAAGATCAACAAGACGAATGGATAAATAAACTATTATGCGTATTCATACAAAGGGACACTACATAATAATCAAGTGCTCACAAACATGCTGATTTTAAAAACCAAGATACTAAGACAGGCATTGTAGCACATACCTATAGTCCCAGCTACTTGGGAAACTGACGCAGAGGAGTCTTTTGAGTCCAAAAGTTCTGGACTAGTCTGAACAACATAGAGCCTGTCCTCCCCCAAAAAATTACAGAAAGATAAAGTCAGTTTGATTGCGTTCAACTTTAAAAGCTTCACAACCTTTAAGAACTACATAATAAACCAGGCACGGTGGCACATGCCTGTAATCCCAGCTCTTGAGAAACTGAGGTGAAGCGATTGCTGTGATTTTGAGGCCAGCTGGGGCTACAAAGCAAGTTCGAGGCCAACCTGAACTGTATGGCAAGATCCTGTCTCAAAAAGACAAACCCCCGCCAAAAAAAGGACTACATAATATATCGTTCAGGGAAAATGTGGAATAAGAAGCCAAAATCAGAATGGTTTCATCCCTCAGGGA